TGGTGGCAATACTACAGCGAGAATCAAAGTTATGCCTTCTTTCTTTGCATATGCATTTGGGTGGTGTTATCTTCCCACACAGTGCCGTAGACATGTCGGGGCGTGTTTAAACGAGGCGTTTTAGAAGGGCGTGAACGAGTCTTAACTTTTATAAAGAATATATCTTTGGGTTTGAGACTTTAGTCTTTGCAACTTTAGGGATCTTATCTATTCACGAACAGCTTGTAACACTCCAAAGAGAGAGGAAAACTTGAAACCGCATCATATGACCCCTTTAATATCTCATGACTGAATGCCAAACAGCACTCAGACAGTTATAAGCATTCGTAGACATGTCTTTGAGACAACTCTAGAAGATAACCACTCAGCAAAACCTAATCTCTTGTCACACAGTGTCGTTTGCACATCAAAAGTCCCACAGACTTCGAATGGTTGAAGCAATGCCGCTTTTACTTTAATGAAGACTCGGATAAGATGATGATCAACATCACTGACGTGGGTTTCGAGTACCAGAATGAGTTTCTAGGCTGCACCGACAGGCTGGTCATCACTCCTCTCACTGACAGGTGCTGCTGGCAATTACAAGCTTGTTTACCTCTGTTTTTCCTCTGTGGGGCCATTTATGTATAATTACAATTCAGATGTGATTTCTTATAGATCATACAATTATAAATTTTGCCCAGAACAAAATACAAAAGTCCAAGAAAAGGATTAGCATAAGAAATTATATTATTCATAAGGAAAATTAATATTCACAATGGTGATTCTCATTAGATTATCATTACTGTAATACATGTTGTAATACTATGGTTTTTAAAATTTTAATATTCATAAATTAAAGGCTGCTCAACAAATGCTACTAGTATGTATAAAAACTGAAATAATATATCACTTTACAGTAATGAGAATTATTATTTTTATTTGTTTATTTATTTATTTTTTACATTATGATAATGTGAATTTAGGCCTTAATTGTCACAAAAATATCACAATGCAAAAAATAGACACAATGGTCTTTAAGCAAAATATGCATAAATATATATATAAATATACATTACATTTAGCACATTTTTTTTTTACTTTCCATACAGTCAATCAGTATTTTGTCTTGTGTTCTCATAAAAAAAAAAATCTAAACATCTTCAAGCCCATAAAAAACAAAATTCCGTAAAATATTACTTTAAGTTTTCATCACTTTCGTATCACTTTCTTCAGAGAATATGTATGGATTTAAAAAGTAACATTTTGTTGTAAATATGCTAAATGCATATGCCAATAATAAAAAACAACAACAACAATAATGATGATGATGATGATGATGTTCTAATAGTAATAGTTAATAGAAGTACATCTGAATGCATCATGTGTTATGAGTGTTCAAATATTTTTACTGGACAACAGACAAAAATTCTGATTAAGAAAATGTTTCTTTGCAGTGCAAATGCTACTTTTTGATTAAGATTAAAATATATTAATCTCTGCATGATATTAAAGCCATTTTCAATATATTTCCCAGATGCTACATTACTTTAGCTCAAGCTCTGGGAATGAGCATGGGTGGAGCCCCAGCTGGGCCAGCAGGGACAGGAAAGACAGAAACCACCAAGGACATGGGCCGCTGCCTGGGCAAATATGTGGTGGTATTCAACTGCTCCGATCAGATGGACTTCAGAGGCTTGGGCAGAATATTCAAAGGTGCCACATGTGTGCTCAATGCACATTTAAAAAACAAATGTAACTGTATTCTTGCAAGTTAAATAAAATCATATTCATGTAATGTAATCCTAAATGACAAAACATGTGAACTCTGTAAGTAATCAACTCTAATTCATTACCCATACGCAAGTAATTTTCATATGATATGGTGTGTGAAATTAAACATGAGTAACCCATTTCTTTGATTTTTGTCATTTTATTAGAATGTTCATGTTCTTTTTGCATGCTTGAAGATGATGATTTTTTTTCTTTCTTTCTAGGTCTTGCTCAGTCTGGCTCCTGGGGTTGTTTTGATGAGTTTAACCGTATCGACCTGCCAGTGCTTTCAGTAGCAGCTCAGCAAATCGCCATTGTACTCACCTGCAAGAAAGAACGGCGGAAGAACTTCATCTTTACAGATGGAGATAACGTGGAGATGAACCCAGAATTTGGCATATTCCTCACCATGGTGAGCTGGTGTCTTTGTGTCTTCTTTAAAACATCACTCATCTCACAAATATTTACTCTAACACTAGGAAGTAGGAACTCAACTGTGACTGCACATCAACTGAATCCTGTATTATTGTGGCAAGTTGCAATGTATTATTTATTGGTGGCTTTTATCATATTGCCACTCTTCAAAAAAAAAAAAAGCAATACAAATTAGACATTTCTAAAAACAATAAACCACTGAAGCTATGCGTAACCATGATTTTTACCACTAATAAGGCCATACAATGAGATGCAGAGAACATTATTTATGCTTGGTAAATTCCTCCTATTTTCTTTTTCACATTATATAGAACACATGAAACATTTTACAGTTACTTATAGATATCTCATTACTGTTTGTGAAAATCTGTGAGAAAAGATCCAATGAATTGGTGGTTAGAGTGGAAAAAGTTTACACATATACAGTATGTTGTTATTTTCACCTTTTTTTCTCCTTCTGTTCAGAATCCTGGATATGCAGGGAGGCAGGAACTTCCAGAGAATCTGAAAATTAACTTCCGCTCAGTGGCGATGATGGTTCCTGACAGACAGATAATTATCAGAGTGAAACTGGCAAGCTGTGGCTTCATTGACAATATTGAACTAGCCAGGAAATTCTTCACACTATACAAGCTGTGCGAGGAGCAGCTCTCTAAACAGGTGACTGTCGTTAGTAGCGATATAACTAATAATCAATATAACTATTAATATATATAACTATATAACTAACAATCAAATATTCAGTATATATATTCAATAGTTCTGCCCTGCTCATTGTGAACTAGATTAACAAGTAAGGCTAGAAAATACAGTAAACTGTTCTTGTTCAGGAACGTGTGACAATGACACTAAATAATAATATTTATTATTACCACTTTCTTAGTACATTTTACTGAAAATTCCACTGTTCTTGAAATTCATTCCTATGGGACATTCTGTAAACTTGTCCTGCCAAACAACAGTAACAAATGTAACCAGGCAAATTCTCTCACACTAAAAATGGCATTTAGAAATGTAATATCTGGCCAAAATTTGTTTGATGCATTTTCATTTACAATTTAAATGAATTAGCGTAAAATACTGACACTGTGACAAATGCGTCAGGAGTTTTGAGTGTGTGAATTTCTTGTTTCTTAGCACTGTAGCACTGTTTAGCACCCCCAATGGGGCGATCAGGACAAGTCCATGCCGATGTGTCCCCAAATTGAGCACTATCTTTTGACCAAGTTTTATGTTTCTATGCCTTACAGTTAGCTGCAAGCAGAAATTATTGGGGTTTAAGCACAATTATTTTGCAAGCCTATAAATACTTCATTAAGGCATAGAAAAAACAACCCAATTTTCAGCAATTTTAGGTAATTTTAGGCAATTTTAGGTCATTAGGGCATTTTAGGCCATAGAACTATAGTGGTTTTTAATATTTATTTATTTTTTATTGCTGAGCTTGAGCTGGGTTTCCTTTTTTTCTCCTAGGTCCACTATGACTTCGGTCTCCGCAATATTCTGTCCGTCCTGCGCACACTTGGAGCAGCAAAACGGGCCAATCCTAATGACACAGAGTCTACTATTGTCATGAGAGTTTTGCGAGATATGAACCTGTCAAAACTGGTAAGAGTGCCAGCACACATACAGACATAGTTTTGACATATGAGCAACCAATGGACCAAACAGTCATACCTCATGTCGCTCTTTGTTTGATGATAGGTTCTCTCTTATATCAGTATCAGAAATCGTAACAGTGAAATGTGTCTCTGTCATTTAAGATTGATGAGGATGAGCCATTGTTTCTGAGTTTGATTGAGGATCTTTTCCCTGGAATTCAGTTGGATAAAGCTGGATACCCTGATCTGGAGTCAGCCATAGACAAACAGGTTGGGAAAAAAAAAAAATATATATATATATATATAT